TGTACTTTATTTATAAATTAGAATTTGTGTATAATATTTCATAAATAAATTCATTTCATTTCAAATGTTAATGTAATTTTGCAGAATTTACAATTTTATTTCAAGAAAAAAAAAACGCGCCATTTATTTTCTAATAAAAAATCTTTTTTCTTCTTCTTCGTTTGCAACGATAAATGCAAAAAAGCAAAGACAGAAACTAAATGTCACGTTATTTTTCGCGTTAAGAGAACACGTCCATACACCCGTAAAAACAACTTCAAACTGAAACTTGTTTTATGCAAAGCGAGGGAAATACGAGAAAATCAACAAAAACAAGAATAAACTCAGTAACAAAGTACACGGTAAGCAAAACAAGTTATCAAACGTACAACAACCGCTTTTGACTGAGCCAACAGTAAAAATTACTAATACACACCAACACACCAACAACCAACACACACAGTTACTAACAACTGGCACCGACAATAACTAAAAACGAAAAACGAAAAACACGAACAGCTAAGCAAAGGAACAAGTATAAAGCCAACTTGTATGCTCACCTGAGCCAACAGCAACATTCGTTATGCGGTGTAATATGCGCACTATACACGGTACGTCGACGTTATTATGCATACGAGCACAAAACGTGCTGGCAGCGTCGGTGTTATAAGCATAAACGTTAAAAACAGAAAAAACAAACAAAAATACAAATACAAACACAAACAAAAAAATAAAAACACACATGCAGAAAGTAACTCAGGTAGTTTATTGTGTTCTTATTGTACTTCTTGTCGTTGTGAGTAAATTGAGTATGGAAACAAAAGCGAGTATAAGAAGAAACCATTTTCATTTGTGCAAACAAAGCAAAATTTTAAAGCACCCTGTGGCTTAAGGAAATGCTTGCGTCATGATTTTTAGTTTTTCTTTGCGCAGTCGAAATACATTCGAATATGGCCTGTACGAAGTAAAGGAATTGATATAGCCAGGAGCGGCTTTAAGTAATAAAATACATTAGGTTTGTTTCGCTAGAAAAGTAAAATGCATGATGAAGCTATTTGTTATAGATAATTTTGATTATTTAAATTTATTAAAATATTTATTGACTATAATGGAATTTATATGTATATAAAACACATTAAAAAAAACATAATTTTTTCATTAAGATATTATGTGGGCTTAAGAGATGTTAAGCCAACAGCTTTTAAAATGGGAAGAAAGCAAATTTATAGAGGTCTGCAATAAGCATTTTCAAAACCAATAGCTCTATTTTAGAAAAATTTAAATAACTACAGTCAGAAATAATTATTGTTTTTCGCGAAATCATGATATAACATATATAATTTATAAGATTTTACTATAATAAAAAATAGAACGAAATATTCTAAATATTCCTTGCATTTTAATGGCTAATAACATTTTCCTATCTATACAAAAACTTCCAAACCTTTTTCCTCCATTTAGGATATGATTATCATAATATTCATAATTTATTAATTTCTAATAAAACAAAATATAGAACCAACTAATCTTAGTTTCCGTTGCAATTTAATTGCTAATAATATTTTCCGATCTGTCCAAAGATGTCCAAACCTTCTTCCTCCATTTGGAAGTTGAATTGTTGGACTGACAGTCTTTGCTATATATAACTACTTTTAGATATAATTATCATAATATTCATAATTAAGTTTCTAATATAATAAAATATAAAACCAACTACTCTGAATTTCCGTTGCAATTTAATTGCTTATAATATTTTTCGATCTGTCCAATAATGTCCAAACCTTCTTCATCAATTTGGAAGTTACTTTTTGAACTTTCACTGTTTGCTATACATAACTATTTTTAGATACGATTATCATAAGATTCATAATTTATTAATTTCTACTATAACAAAGTATAGAACCAACTACTCTTAATTTCCGTTGCACAATGAATACTAATAACATTTTTCAATCTGCCCAAAGATGTCCAAACCTTCTTTCTCCATAAATATTTTTAGATATGATTTTGAAAGTCTGAACCGCATTTATAGTGCTACTGTTAAAACTATTACCACTAATATAAAATAATAATTTTTATTAATATTAATTTCTTTTTATTTTTTTAAAGAGTTTAAAACTCTAAATAAATTACTATGCGCTCCTGCCTTTCTAGTAACTACTCGTATATAGTCGTTAACTATTCACCCTCATAGCTCTCTTTGCTCAGCTTGGTTGTCACTATTGTTAGTTGTGTCTTAATACTTTCTGCCGTTCTATTGTCTTTTTTTTTTTGGTTTCATCTTATATGTAATCTTAATTTTTGTTTTAATCTTCAATTCTTTAAACCCTCCCTTTGCCTTGAACTGTTTATCCAAATCTTGGGTTGCAATTTGACACGTATCTGTAGCTCTGTGTTGAACAGATATTTGAATATCTGTTCAACTGTCAGTTACGATTTATGTCGGTTCGGCACACTCAAATCACAAATCACAAATCTCAAGAACTGTACAAATTGTGACAAACTCAGAGTAAGATTTGGAACCAGTTTTTAAGTAAATAAAACTTAATAAAAACCATTTTTTATATGTAAATTTGTAAGGCTGAAGTCATGTTATAATTTAAACTTTAATTATTAAGGCAGTGACATTAAAGTCAGTTTTTTTTGTACACAAGAGATTAATTAGAGATTAATTTACACTTGAATAATTGTTGAGTTGAGTGTACTATATTGATTGGATTAATGATTGGATTAGAAATAATATTAGAAATATATAAGTAGTTAGAAGGACAAGTAGTGAGTAGTAAAGATTTTACAATTTCTATAAACTGAAGAGGATTATTTTTAGTGATCTTAATATTCAAGATTTTAAATATTAGATTTTATTAAGAAAAAATTTTTAGAAGGTTTAAATAAGCTATTGTATATGAAAGTATTTAAATAAATTAATGTTAACTATTTATTATTTATTACTGATGCAAAGAACATCGTAAAGTACTTGCAAAAAATTATAAAATTTTATTTAAAATCTAAATTGACAACAACATATTTATTGTGTCTCAGACCAATATTGTTAATTATTAATAACAAATTATTAAAAGATTTTTATTGAACTTTTATGATATTAAAACTATAATGAAAAAGTTAAGCTAATATTGCAAAAATTATATTTAATTAAAATGAGGATTAAAAAATTAAAAAGTCGTTTTAAGTATTACCATTAATAGTTTTTATATTATTTATTAATTTCAATTCTTTTAAAATTAAGTAATTATTTAAGTAATTAAGTAATTAATTAATTGTTATTTAAGTAATTATTTATTATTATTTAAGTAATTAATTAATTATTATCTAAGTAATTAATTAATTATTATTTAAGTAATTAATAAATTATTTTTTAGTAACTAATATAAAACTGTATTAACCAATTAATGTCATTTGAGAATTTTGTGGGAATATGATAGATTTTGCTAGTTAAATTAAAACAATTTCAATGTTTTATAACTAAGTCATGTTAGGGATGCTATAATCACGCTACTAGCTTTCTAAATATTAGTAAATGATAGTTTAAATTTAGGATTTAAAAAAGAAGAGATAGTGCATAGTTTAAATTCAAGAAAACAACAATTTATTATAGTAAATTTCACTTATTTAGCAGTGGTTTATGCTTTATTTCTAAAAATATTATAGCATATACAGTTGATTTTTACGAATAAATAAAAGAATTTACAAAACACTACAAGCAAAAACATTAATTTGTTTTTAACTATTTTTAGTAACATCCCGCTTGAGTTAATGATGTTAAGGATACTATAATGAAGTAATCAAATTTTTATATATTACAAAAAATTAAGTATTTCCTAATTAAGTAGAGGTAATAAATAATATTCTATTCTAAATTCTCTTATTCTCGTTTCCGTCTAAGTACAAATGATTAGAAATTTAATAGACAACAACCTTTAGCCTCAAAAACGGAAATGCCAAATTCTTACTCACAGCCGTAAGCAAATTGCTAAATGATGGGAAAATTTAAATTAACTTGGTTAAAATGTAGGCCTATTAAAATATAACTTCAATGCCAGAGGCACTGTATACACAACAGCAACCACTTAGCAACAAACGATGAAACTCTTAAGACTAAGGCAATATCCTTTAAATACACGTTTTGGCAATGAATGAAAATTTCATTCAACTTTCTGTGCTTCGGTCAGTAGTAAATCTTAGCCTCCTAAGTAGCCAATTGAATGAATCATGCGTAAAATTGGCTTAAAAGCGTTAACGTAAAATACCACGAATTTCTTGTAGCAATACTCAATCGTTTCAGTTGAAGTTCGAATTGTAAGCAATCAGCCTTAACCGGAGCTTCTGCTCGCAATGATGAATAATTGATTAAAGCCACGTTTAAACCATGCGTTAACTATACTTAAAGCGTTACTACTATTTTATTATGCCAAATGCGTCACTTTATTGAATTTATTATGAAGAAAATATGTTTCCACTTAACAATAAAAAATCAAAAATACAAAAAGAAAAGCTATCTATCTATGTGGAGTTGAGGTTTGAAATTACCAATATTCAGGTGAAGTCAACTTAACCCTAACGCAAGCCACAAAGGTCAAGCACTTCTCTAACGCATTTTAAATTGATTTTTTTTTTATGGTTTTTTTTCTGTTACTATTATTATTTTTTAAAATTTTCCTTTTATTTTATTTTGTCTTATTTTTTCTTATTTATTTGATTTTTTGTTGTTTTTGAAATTAAAAAAAAAAATTTCATCTTAACTGAATGCTCAAATGACAAATGAAATCTAAAGGTTCCTGACGGTTTTTGGTGCTATGCTTCGAGCGTGACTCAAAATCTGGTTCGAATGGATGCTGTTTACATGATTTCGATATTTTATGTTATATTTTCGTTTATTTATTTTTTTTTTTTGTTTTGTGTAATATTAAGTTTGAATTTCTTTAATCTTTTACATGGTATACATAAGTGTGAGTCACTGAATTTTTAATTCAATGCTTTACATCGAAGATGTTAAACCTTAAAAGATGTTAAAATGGCTTTTATGAGTAAAATTTCATAGAACTGATATGTAAGACATAATACTTTTTTTATGGTTAATATGGATTATTAATGTTTTTTATGTATACAATTTTAGCATAATTTATAGACAATTTCATGCCATGGAATTTCAAATATTTGATTATTAATATACATAATTATAATAAAAGTATGTCTATATATATTTGTATTAAGATAAAAAATATATTGCATTACTTTTTTGTTAGACAGATCTACAATGTTAGAAAAGAACTTTTTGAGGACACCAAAGAACAATCAGAAATGCTGTCGGAAGCCGCACAAAATCATTAATGAAAACTATCTGTTAATGTGATGCGGTTAGTTCTTAAAACAGGGATGTAAACAAATCACATATAATCTCTTCTAATAGAAATACCTAAATTATCAGAAGGGAGACATCTTATAAGTATCATAAGGCAATAAAATGGATCTACA